TGGCCTGTCAAAGGGTCTACCTCCTCCAAATGAATTTGTACTAAGACCTTCATCAATTATTCAGGTCATATAGGATAGGCTATTACAATACATATTAAGAGAAGAGAGTAAGAATATTAACTGAATTTTATATATCTATGGTGCAAATACCAGTAATCTGAATATAGTAGATTACTCCTGAGTATAAGACTATAGAAAAAATAAAAAAGGTGGGTGGGGTTGTGATATTGGAGAAAGTCTTGGGAGGTAGCCCCATTCAAGGAAATATTATACGCTTTAGCATTCTGTAGAGATTTACTCTATCCACTACAGGTAACATATTTTACCTAATTTTCTTTATATTCAGTTTCCTCATCTGTAATATGGGCACAATATCTCCTACTTCCAGGTTGTTATGAGGAGTAAATGTACCATCTTATGCAGGAGAGGAAGTGATTAGTGCCTGTCAAGTACGGATCTGGGGATTTCAAGTGACTTGCTATTGCCATCTAGGAGAGTCCCTCTGTATTACTCCTGGAACGTGATCCCTCCTTCCACTTCCACTGTGTTTTCTGTTGTTCCACATCTACCAGGCTAGTCTTAGTCTTCTAACTTCTACTGAAAAGATTTAAAAAATTCCTTTTTTGTTGTTGTTGTTATTGAATGCTTCACTCCAGGAAATATGAGGGAAAATGGTAAACCTTTTCAGTGCTGCATTATCTCATAATACATCTCCCACTGCAGTTTAATTTATGTTTTTTTCGACATAATTTTTAAAGGCTAAAATAGATTTTCAATGGGGGGAAGAATAATAAGAAAAAAGGAGAAACAAATAGGTGTAAATTGAGAGGGAAGAGAAACTTGATTATCTCTGTATTGGAGCCTTTGCTGATGCAAACAAATAAATGGTGGCAACTGATGTGCTCTGGGCTTTGCAGAGCCCTGGAGTGCTGCCAGCCACTCTTCACCTTAATATTTAATAGGCATTTGTACAGAAACACCACATAAGTATAAGAGATGTTAATTGCTATTTTTTCTATTTTCATTTACAGATTATTAGTTATAAAATAAAAAAATGTTGTTTGGTTAGGTTGAAATTTTAATGTTGAGCTCTTAAATTTTTCCATGAGATAATTTTTCAGTGAAAAGTTAGTAATAAATTATTTGTATTTGTATCATGCCTCACTCCAAAGACATCAAAGTCCTGATCAGAAACTCACAGAGACCTAGGAAGAATTCTAGGCTCTTCTGTACTCAGTTCAGCTCTTCCAGAAGTGCTGCTTATAGCAGTGGGTGCAAGCCAGAGGGAAATTGTCTCTTTTATGTACCATCAGCTTCTTGAAGTTCTGCTCAGTTATTGACTTATGTGCAAGTATTGCAAATCCTGAAAGCTCATGGCCCTTCTGATTTTAACACAATCACTGAATGTTTATATTTATCTAAAATCAGTTTTAGTATGGGGAGAGTTATACAAAATATCTATACAGAAACACCAAATAAAACAGTTTCTAATAATCTCTTAAAAGATTGTAGCAGAAAGAGAAGGCATACCTGATGGTAATCAGATTGTATTTTAGAAGAGAAATYATCTAGGTGGGACATTTCTGAGCACTCTTAGCTTGTGCTCTTTTAATGCAAGATGYTATCACCTCTGCTTTTAATGTTATTTTCACATTTTTTACTGTGAACATTTTTTTTTCCTTTTTGTATCSTCAAAAGTTACTTCCTCTGAGAGTTTTATCCAGACTTAACTATAAGGCTGAATATGTCATTATTTAATACAATCTAAATGTTCCTTCTAATCTAGTATTGTTTATCCATAGTACTGTAATTATAACTATATGTTTATTTCTCTAACCATGCCAAGAACCGTTTGAAGAGAAATCATCTATCTTATTGTTTTCTGAATTTTTATTGTCTAATGAAGTGCCAGACACAAATTGTTCATAAATGTTCCTAGAAAGAAAGCTTTTTATAAATTACCAAAAGTTTTTACAAGATCCAAAACTGCAAGAGATATTTCAAAGATGCTCTTTTCTGCTTCTACCAAATCAGCATCATGTCAGGGGATGTTCTAGTATTAATGTTTTTAAAATAATTAAACCATTTCCTGTATTAAATTTAAATGAGCATTCAAGTAAAGAATAGAAAAAAGGAAGCAATCTGTAAAAATAAAATATTGATAAGATAATTTGTAACATAATTARATTTTTAAAGTAAATTTTGTTTAAAGTGGGAAATTTTTGGAGCACAAACAGAAAAAAAATGCCTTGTTTTCAACACCTTTATTTTTATGTGGTACTGAGAATTGAACTCAGTGCCTCACACATGCCAGAGGAGYGCGCTACCACTGAGCCACAACTCAAGCCACCTCCCCCCCTCCAAAAAAATGCCTTTTTGTGAAAGACCAAAAGCTGTTTCAATTTCTGGAAACTTCTACAGATAGTTAAATAAATTCTTTGCAATATCAACCCCAAAGCAATATAGGCACTGGCTGGCTCTTGTGTGTTAAATTCAGCTCTTCATTTTCTATCTAGTTTTGTCTGCTTGAATTTTTACAGTGTATGGTCCTATTTTGAAGAAAATAAGTGCATCYTCCCCATTCTTCCTTACTCAGTAGAACCTTGAGGCAGTTTTTCAACAAAATAGTTCCGTGAATTTCTACAGACCACAGAGCAAGTAAGCTGTAATGAAGAGAAACTTTCAGGTCTCTTCTCTGCAATCCCAGTCTACTCTATGAAGATTAAAATGTTCTATCCTTAGACCACATATTACAGTGGTCTGCAAAAAAGTGTAGATTTTTTGAGGTAGCATGACCACTCACAAAGAAATAAATATACATGAATTACAGAGGCTTAAAACAACATATCTGGAATGAAGAGCCTTAAAAATATTACATCCACTAATTCCATTCCTTCTATTTTGAAGAAATTCTCAGATATTAATGCCAATATTTATGCTGAACAACTTTACATCATTGTTTATCTTAGTAAAAACTGGAGGACTATTTTATTCAACAATGTAGACCAGGTAAATAAATCACAACACCTCTATATGACAAAATATAACACAAAAGTTCAAGTGTTGGAAGATTTTTATAAAGATGTTTGAGAATGACCACACTATAATATTATGTGAAGAAAGACAAGAACAAACTGGTGCATAATACATGAAATTACTTCCTTAGAAAAAAGTATACATACTATCATACATATTAGGAAAAAATGAAGAAGAAGGAATTAAGAACATTACATGCTTTAAAAATGCTTTTTAATTATCTTACAATGAGAATATATTGCTTCAAAAATATCAAAGATTTTGAACAGGTACAGACCTATAGATTAAGTCTGATCTTTTGGGATCTTAGTACAGTAAGTTATTTCTGACGGTATATGCAGCACATAATAAGTTATAAGTGATAACAAGTTATCCTGGAAAATGCAAGTGGAATTGTAATACAATGAATTGGAAGTAAAAAATACTGCCTGGGACTTGTCTTTGTCTTGCTGCTTAAGCTTATCTGGAAACATGACAGTGGAATTCAGTATGTATATTTGGTAAAATTTTCCACATAATTCAGAAACACATCAGTAACTATCCTATATTAATTTGATTTGAGATAAAGCTTAAAATGAAAAGTTGAGAATGGATGAGAGGAAGGATTTAACGTCTGATAGGAAGAATAAGTGAGGTGCTCAGAGGCCTTTGAAAAGGAGATAATCATTGAAATAGCTTTTCTAGTAGTGCATTTGCTTGTTAACTAGATAAGGAAGACTACTTGTTACCTTATTACTTTTTTAAAATCCTGAACTGAGGGTAAACAGAAAAGTAATGAATAGATATAATTTTTTCCAGTGTTTTATTTTTATCTAGTTCTTATACCACAATTTTTTGAGTCAGTGTTTATTCAGATTGACCCCAAAATTTGGCAATTTGTAACTTCCTTCAATCAATTTTCTTCTTTTTCATTGAATTTCTTTCTTTATTTTTTATTTGTTTTTGGTTATACATAACAATAGAATGTATTTTTACATATTATAATATAAAGAATATAACGTCGCATTCTTCTAGTTTTCTCCATGTGAATTGTTTTGGTCATATATTTATATATGCTCATAAGAAAGTAATGTCTGATTCATTCTACTATGTTTCCTATTCCTACTCCTCTTTGTCTAATGGACTTCAAATCTTCCCTACCCTCACCTGCTTATTGTGATTGAGCAYCAATCCAATATCAGAGAAAACAGAGCACCAGAATACATAAAGCAAACATTGATAGAACTGAAGRGAAAAATAGTAACACATTTGTAAATTATCGGAACTGTAATACAATACTTCCAATATGGATAGAACATAGAGACAGAAGATCATTAAAGATACAGAGGGCTTGAATAACATTGTAGATAAAATGGACTAGCATACATGGAATATTCTCCAGGAGAGATATATATCTACATATGTGTGTGTGTGTGTGCGTGCGTGTATTTAATTTAGAAAGATTGAAATAATACCAAGTATATATTTTCCAATTATAGATGAGATGAAACTATAAAGTAATGGTAGAAGAAAATCTGGAAATTTTCCCAAGAGGTGAAAATTAAACCACCTGATCTTGAACCAATGGATCATGAAGAAATCAAAGTGGAAATTAGAAAATACTTGAAGACAAAAATGAAAATACAATATATTAAATCTTATGGGATACAGCAAAAGTGGTATTAAAATGGAAGCTTATGGTGATTAATACCTGTATTAACTTTACACCTGGATGTAGTTTGGATCCTATGTGTTTTCCCAATGTCCATATGGTAAAGGCTGGGTTTCCAGCGTGATACTATTGGAGCATGAGGAAATCTGTAAGAGATGTGGCTCAGTGGGAGTGTTCAGGCTGCTGGGATCATAACTTTGAATGAGGTGGAAGGAATCCTACCCCTTCCTATTCCCTCTTTTACTCCCCTGCTATGAGGTGAGCAGTTTTTGTCCTCTGTGCACGTCTATCATGGCTTACTCTCTCACCACAGGTTGAAAGTAACATGATCAATCAAGGATGGGAAACTCCAAAACTGTGAGTCAAAATAAGCCTTCTCTTTTTATAAGTTGATTTATCTCAGATTCTTGTTACAGTAATGGAAATTGACTAACATACACTTCCAGGAACTAGAAAACAAAACAAAACAAAATAATCCCAAAGTAACAGAAGAAAGAAAATAAAATTAGAGCAGGAAAAAAATGAAATAGGTAATAGAAAATAATCATTGAGATTGAGTTGGTCCTTTAATAAATTAACACAGTTGAAAATTTTAGCTAGATTAACTGTCTTGGTTTGTGCTGTTATAACAAAATACTTTAGAATAAGTAATTTATACTCTATATAGTATATTAAGAACAGAAATTAATTTCTTACATYTATGGAGACTGGAAATCAAGATCAAGATGCCAACCCTGGTGTCAGCTGAGTGTTGCTTTTTGCTTCCAAGATGGCATCTTGTTGTGTCCTTATGGGCTTCAAGACAGAAAGGCAAGAGAATACTTTCTTCAGAGCCTTGAAACCTTTTATAAGGATGCTAATCCTGCAGCCATAGTTCTTTTTTTTTCCACAATTTTTTATTGGTGCATTATAGTTGCACATAATGATGGAATTTGTTGTTACATATTTGTACACGCACACTATATAACACTATATAATTTGGACAATATCACTTCCCATCACTCCCCCTCCCTCTCCTTTTTCCACCCCTTGAATTAATTTCTGCTCCTTCCCCCCCCCCCCACTTTTCTTTGCCTTTTTTTCCTCTATACTTTCCACTGTGAGAATAAACACAGGACTCTTGACCTTCTGGGTTTGACTTATTTTGCTTAACACAATGGTTTCAAGTTCTGTTTTCCTGCAAAAAAAAAAAAACAACAACATTTTTTTTTCATTTTTCTTTTTGTACACATACCACATTTTTCATAATCATTCATCTGTTGATGGACATCTAGGCTGGTTTCATAGTTTGGCTATTATGAATTGTGCTGCTATAAATATGGCTATACATTTATCATTATAGTATGATGATTTTACTTCTTTAGTATAAACACCAAGGAGTGATATAGCTGGGGAATATGGTGGTTCCATGCCTAGCCTTTTGAGGAACTTCCATCTTGATTTCCATAGTGCTTGTGCTAATTATAGTCCCCCCAATAGTGTAAAAGTGTTCTTGTTCTCCATATTCTCTCTAGCATTTGTTAATATTTGTATTCTTGATGACTGCCATTCTGACTGTGTGACATAAAATCTCAGTGAAGTTTTGATTTGCATATCCCTAATTGCTAATGATGTTGAACATTTTTCTTATGTTTGTTGGCAATTTGTATTTCTTATTTTGAAAAAATGTCTGTTTAATTCATTTATTTGTCAATTGGTTTATTTCTTTTTTGACATTGAGTTTTGGAATTATTTATTTTAATCCTGTCAAAATACTAGCTAGAAAAGATTTTCTCCCATTCAATAAGTTATCTTTGCACATTCCTAAGTGTTTCCTCTGCTGTGCAGAAGATTTTTAACTCGATGCCATCCCACTTACTAACTCTTATCTCATGAGCTTTAAGAAAGTTTTTGCCACAGTTCTACATATCATTGCATAGGAGATTAAGGTTCAACATGCATAAGGGAACACCATCATTCAAGCTTTATAGCATTCCACCTTTTATCCCCAACACTCATGTCCTCACATACAAATGCATTCATTTTATTCCAGCAGCTCCTTAAGCTTTTGCCTCCTTTTATCATTTAAAGTCTAAATCCAAAGTCTCATCTAAGCAGTGTCTACATCTTATGTGAGACTCAAGTATGATTCATTCTTAGGGCATTTTCCCTCCAGATATGAGACCATGAAGTGAAACAAGTTATGTGCTTCTAAAATACAATGATTAGTACAGGCAGGTGGTAGACATTCTCATTCAAATAGGGATATATAGACAAGAAAAAAGGTAGGAAATCCAAAAGTCCAAAATCAACACTAAAGTTTAAGGCTTGAGAATAATCTTTTGGACTCTGTAATCCAACTTCCAGACACTGGGATGGGGGTTGGGTCTCCTAAACTTCAGGACATACTATCCTCATGGCTGCTGGGTATAGTCCTGATTGTACCTTTATTAGGTTGGAATCAGGTGTCTGAGGGCTCTCCCAGGATAGGGTTGAATGCAGGTGAATATACAGTTCTGAGATCTCTGGAGTAGCCCTGTTTCCCTGTTTCCACTAAGCATTGAACTAATGGGAACTCTGTGATGTTCAGAAACCCAAAATTTCCTGTCATTACCCTAGTGGGGACTCTGTACACAGCCCAGCCTCTGTGGAAATTCTGATTAGGTTTCAAGGCTCTTTTAAACTTTTTTTTTTTTTTCAAATCTAGGTTGGGGTATCTAGGTCTCTACAACTCTTCCACACTTGTGCCTGTAGTGTTAGCCCTATATAAATGTTTCTGAGGTTTACAAACTATATATTTGTATATTATATTTGGCCTGAATAATGCATTACCTGCTTGGGTAATGCAGGGGAGGCATAGTAGCATTGCATGAGAATACAAAGAGAAGAGATTTGAGGCATTACTAGTGGTGAGCCCCTGAACACCAAGAATTCATTGAAATGGTTCTTGCATTAAGGCTCTGGGGCTATGAAGAAGGTGACAGCCTTGAAGATCTCAGAAATGTCTTCAGGGTCAATCTCTCATTATCTTGATGAATAGATTGTGGCATCCTTCCATCTATTTTAATCTCCTTTTCAAATTATATTTTAGCCACACCCTTGATATTCTCTCCCTAATATACCTTTTATTATTCTTTATAATTGTGTCAAGATTATAATTTTCTAAATCTTTAAATTCTGCTTCACTCTTGATTATAAATTATAAATTTAATTAATTTAACTCTGTAAGTAATTGAGAAGCCATAAAGCACCTTTAAAATTTTGCTTAAAGATTTCTTTTGCCAAATATCTAAAGTCATCCCTCATAAAAATTGCCGATTCCATCCCAATTCCAGATTTTGATCCCAATCCTTAGATAATTCCTAAGAAGACTGAGGTTTTCCATACAGCTCTACTCTTCTGAACCCTTACCAGAATCACTCTTAATGCTCTAACAGTGGAAAACTAGACATTTTTTAGCATGTACTTATAAACTCATCAAGCCTCTACTAGTTCCAAAGTTACTTTCATATTTTTGATCCTTATCTTATAGTATAAACACAAATAAATTGAAAACATACCAATAACTTTATTGTAAAACCTGAAACTGCAAAATTCCTAGAAGAAAACAGGAAAACAACCCTTACTAACATGGTCTTGGTAATGATTTCTTGGATATGACACTAAAAGCATAGACCAAAAAAAAAGGGAAAAATAGACAAATGGTACTACATCAAACTAAAAATCTTTTGCACAGCAAAGGGAAGCATCAGATTGAAAAGGGAACATATGGAATTGTAAAATATATTTGTAAAATATGTATCTGATAAGGGGTTAATATACCAAATATATAAGGAAATTTTACAGCTCAGTATTTAACAAAAGAAAATGGGTCAGGGTCTTTGATAGCCTTTCTCCAAAGAAAACACACAAATGGTCCAAAGATATATGAAATGAAGCTCAATTGTTAATCATTAGGGAAACTCAAGTAAAAATTACAGAGATTATCTCATCATGTATGTTAGCATGGTGATCATAAAAAAATGTGTTGATGAGGGTGTGGAGAAATTATAATAATTGTGTACTCTTGATAGGAATGACAAATGGCACAACTACTAAAGGAACAGTATGGAAGTTCCTGAAATAAGTAAAAATAAAACTACCACAAATTTAGCAATCCCTCTTATGGGCATTTATCCAAAGAATTAAAAAATTAGGATGTTAAAATGATATTTGTACACACATTTTATTGCAGTATTATTTACAATTGCCAAGCAACAGAAGCAACCTAAATGTTCATTATCAGATGAGTATATAAGGAAAATGTAGAGCATACATACAATGGAATATGATTCAAACATAAAAGAAGAAGGAAATTCTGTCATGCTACAAGTAAGATGAACCTTGGATAAATTAGGCTATGTGATGAAAGCCAGTAACAAAAGGACAAATATTGCATGATTCCATTTGTATCGAATATCTAAAATAGTTGAATCCATAGAAAGAGAAAGTAAAATGGTGGTTTTAGGGACTTGGAAGAAAAAGAAGTGGAAAGTTGCTGATATATATATATATATATATATATATATATATATATATATATATATATATATATGATATAGATGTTCCAGTCATTCAAGATAAAAAAGTCCTACAAAGCTGATGAAAAAATGTGTTTATTTTTAATAATAGTGTACTGTAGAATTCGAATTGCATAGATTCAATTTAACAATATGTAATGCCAAAAAATCATGACAAGTATGGATTATGCCAAGGAAATAATATTGTTTAATATTTGAAAACTTTGATCACTACATTTTTCCACATTAACCAAGTCAAGGGAAAAAGGCTTGATACCTTATTAGAAAATGAAAAGATTTGACAAAATTAAAAATACAATTATAAAAGTTTTACTAAGATAGAAAAGAAGGGAAATTTCTTCATTTGAAAATAGTATCTACAAAGTATCTATACCTAAGTGATACCTGTTATGATTTGGATATCAGATATCCTCTGAAAGCTCATGTGGCAATGCAGGGGTGAAATGAGTAGATTATGAAAGCTGTAACCTCATCAGTAGATTAATCTTTTTAATCTGATTGAACTACTGGGTGAAAACCATAGGCAGGTGGGACACAGCTGGAGGAAGTAGGTCACTTAGGGCAAACACTTACTGTTTATATTTTGTCTATGACCCTCCTCTTCTGCCTCCTGGCTGTCAGAGCTGCCATGAGCTGCCATGAGCTGCCATGAGCTGCCATGAGCTGAGCAGTTTTTCTATATCATTCTCTGGCACCATGGTGTTCTGCCTTACCTCAGGCACAGAGTGTTGGAATTGGCTGACCATGGTCTGAATATCTGAAAGTAAGCCCAAAATAATTTTTCCCCTTTAAATAACTT